TCTCTCTCTCTCTCTCTCCGGCTGAGGTTCAGCGACCTGGTATAATCGTTTTTGTCGGGGTAATTCCTCCTTGGGTCTGGGGTGGCTTGACCTGTCAGTTGACCACCGTACACACACAGAAAGACGAAAAAGACATTGTGTGGCATCGCGGTGAAATCAGGCGCTCGTCAAATTAATGGAACCTAAGAAACAAACTTTACCCCCCGCACCCTTTTATTGGTCGTTTAAAAACATATTTTTGTGCGAATTCCACAGAAAAACGTTGATGAAAGGCACAGAATATTGAAACTTGCATTTTTCAAGGACACTCAAGCTTCTGAAGTCAACAAACTTTTTTCTTACTAATTTTACCTCTGGCATCAGGCACCTCCTTCAATCTCCAATATCTTTTATTTGACATAGGTAGGTATTCTTTTCTTATTTTTTACAGCAAAAGTAAGACAAATAACAAGCTTTAAAATGGCACAATGTACCAATAATTCCATCTGTCCAAAAATTGACGAGCACCTGATTCCACTGCGTCGTGACACAAATCATTTTGTCATCATTATAAAGATAGTGATTAATGGCCCAGTTAGCGTTACGAGGATGGTTCGTGTCACATATTATGATAGCTGTGCACGTGTGGTTTGAAATGTAGATGTTTTTAGTACATGTACAACACCCCCATCGACGTCGACAATATTCAGACCATTTTTACAATTTTTAGGAGGTAAGTTTTTACCCTACCTGTCAGGGTCAACCCAGGCTGAATGGGATACATGTACAGCATCCCTGCAAATAGACAGAGATAATCGATAACAATCCTCCCCACTCGGAAATCGAACTCAGGTCTCCTGCGTGCGGCGGCGAAGTGATTGACCCCTACACTACTGTCACAGACACCCATTTGTATTGCATTCGATAGCTGGTGTTCTCGGCAATATTATTAAGCCTGTCGGCTACATCATCGTCGTTATCACAATTCTCTTCATCGTCATTTGTCTTTTGTTTCTTCTTTTCCTTCATTAGGGGCGTCGGTAGCCTTGTGGTTAGGCTACTGGGCTCGTAACCGTGAGGTCGTGGGTTCGGGAGTTCGAGTCTCAGCTCGGTCCGATGTTGTGTCCTTGGGAAAGCTACTTTACACGAATTTCCTACTTGGCTCGGTCTTTTCGGAGGTGGACGTTAATCACCTTTTTTTCCTTCATCAATCAAACGCCAAAGGCTGGAGATTGTATTACCCCTACCCCGCCATATAAACGAAAACAATATCAAATCAATAAATCAGTTAATGCTCATAGTACGCCACCTTATAAACAATATAGCAACCAACAACAACACAACAACCACAAGTGCAAAATGTCAAAAACAGGAAAAGATAGAAGATAAAGCAGAAGAAGAAAAATAATTAAGGAGGGGAGGAGGAGAGAACTCAATGGCAATCATAACATATAAAATCATCGGCGACTCCTTTCTCTAGCTCCTCCCTCTTCTCCAGTGCACTTTCCACTGCCCCCCCCCCTAAAAACATGATGTAAAAAGAAAAAAAATGTGGCTGAGAGACAAACGCACGAGTTTTATGCACAAGAATTATTATGTCCTCCAACGCACATCCACAACTCTTAAAAACCCCCAAAACAAAACATGGACACTACTACTACTACTACTACTACTACTACTACTACTACTACTACTACTACTACTACTACTACTACTACTACTACTACTAGATCTATTACTACTTCATAACATAAACACATAGGTCTAGGCTTTATTTTTAAAAAATTAATGGCCTACCTCTATTATTTAGGCATACGATAAGAGTCCAAGGGTCGCAGACGTCACAGTAAGTTCAAAGTTTTCTCTCCGCGACACCCCAGTAAACTCTACTGAAAAGTGCATTTTTGTGCGACACCGAATAAAACTAGGATTATTAGGCCTTTCCTTGAAGAACTTTCCAATTACGTGACATGACCCCACAGCAATGCTTTTGTGAAAAGGCTATGATAATGACTATCGTTCATTCCCTGCTGTTTTTGCGGTTCAGGTGAAAAAAAAACAACAAAACGCGGAAAAAAATTATCTGGCTCTGCTCCTCTGTGATTACCTCACAAACTCGAGACTTTGCTTGCACTTGGAAATTTGAGGTAAAAGCTAGGCCTTGATCTTGCGTTGCTCCCTGTCTATTTCCATATTTGGAGCAGTAGGCTAGATTTAGCCTATTTTGTTTTATTGATCATTACCGGAAGCTACGCCTATATTTTCTCAAACATTTTACTTTTTTCTTTCTGTCTCACTTGGACAGAACTGAGAAGGCACGGCTTCAGGACTTAGGACACGCTCAACCAAACTATGACTCAACTGCAATGCGCGTAGAAAGGTGGCAATGTGTCCTATTTCGAATTCAACTTCAAAATGGAAAACCCCACAACTCTTGGAAAGTAAGCTGTGGTAGCTAGGCGTAGTTGGTTAAAATGAAATCGGCATCACCAAAGAAAGCCTTCAACGGCCTCGTATGCCCTAATGAAGGCCAATGTATCGTGGTAGGCTAAGACATGCCTTGCCTACCTGCGCACAGCTGAGTGACACCTGAAATTATACAGCTTTGAAATTTGCTTTTTAGCACTCATGGTAATGACTGTAACAGAAAATTCCTTTTCATTGTTCAGTATGTGATTGGTTTATAAAATAATTCAATATGAACAGTTAGTAGAAAACGTTGGTGGCGTTGGAGCTACAAAATTTTAGTTGAAAATACGAGAAACATTGAACGACTGCGAAAACCAAATCTCCCGCGCTCAATATCTGAACGGGGCTCGTAGCGAACTCGCCTGGGCCAAAGGGCGTGCCAAATGCCCGATTGTTCACGTGACTCACTGCAGCCAGTAACCCTATTCGCTGTCTCACTGTTTGTCAGTGCTTCCGTAACTGACTCAGAAGGCTTCTGGCCCGGCTTCCGAAAACTTGGATTTTGTGTTCTTATGTGGTGTAGAAGTTCGTTAAAATTTTGAGGATATTACTTGGTTTGTTTCAGGAGTGCGACTGACTGTTATTATTTGTTTTTACGGCCTTTTCATGTCAACTATCATAGGTCTGTGATCCCGGAAAAGGAGAGCGTTCTTTACCAAAATGGCCGACTTTGATGGAGCCTCAGGATTGAGCGCTATTGAGCTCAGTTATCTTGCTATTGACCGATCTATTATCAACGATCCAGCTGTCCAGGCAGAATGGGCATCCAAGAAGCTCGTATGGGTGCCAGACGAAAACAATGGCTTCGTGGCAGCAAGTATAAAAGCAGAAAAAGGAGACCAAGTGGAATGTGTTGTGGACGAAACCGGCAGGAAAATGTTGGTCCACAGAGATGATGTCCAAAAGATGAATCCCCCAAAATTCAACAAAGTGGAAGATATGGCTGAACTTACCTGTTTGAACGAAGCTTCAGTGCTTCACAACCTGAAAGACAGATATTACTCTGGCCTTATTTACGTAAGTCCATCAAGGTCTACACCCCCACCCCTTTCCCAACTGCTCACTGACTCATCATAGGGTCATAATAGGCCTACACACAGATAATCATTGGCCACAATCACTAGCCTGCCTATTCACTATCTCACTCTCATTGTCTTCTCTGTTTTCCATTTACTAGATTTAGACAACATATTCTATATCAAGATCTAGATCTATATCGATAGCGATTATTTTAACAGTGGTCAGTAGCTGGATTTTGATAAATTGACCTCAAGCCTCAAGTAAAAGTTTATGAAAGGGTCACTACTCTAAGTCTAAGGCAAGGTTTAGGCCATTTAGGGTGCTGGAATCCTCTCCTTACACCCCTGATTTCATTCGTCCAATGTGTGTTATTTGGGTACAAGTCTACCATTTGCAGCTTGCTGCTTTGGACTTTGGTGTAAGAGTGTATGATGTGTGTAACAGACGATATCATTTTTCAAAGGCCACCTCTATTCTCACCCGGGGTGAGAATAGTGCAGGCGAGTCTTTTGGCTATTCTCACCCGGTGCGCGTTCACCGTTATAGCCTAGATCTAGGCCAACAAATTTTGCGTTCACCCTAAACCACAGAATTCTACACTGTGATAACAGAAAAATTGTACAATTCTGTGCTGTGAACAAACGTTCCATTACAACTGTACTTGTAGCCTACTAACTAAAAGCGTACAATTTTGTCTGTGGGCAGTGGAGAGAGAGTGAGAGAGAGAAAGAGAGAGAACAAAACAAAATGGCGACCCGCGTAGTTCGGCTCGATTCGAAAAGTTAAATAGCCGTAGCATCTTTGTAGACAACCAAATTAATTTACTTTTGTGTTTTAAGATCATTTTTTAACTTTGTTTTGGTCAATTTGATCGTCCACACCGATAGACAGTATTCAGAAAGAGACAGAGAGAGAGAGAAGAGGGAAGGAGTAGATCTTGCGAGAACCTCCGGGCGGGTGAGAATAGCCACTATTTCTCCGAACGTTCGGAAAAATAAAGCTGGGCACTATTTCTCCGAACGTTCGGGAAAATAAAGCTGTGCACTATTTCTCTGAACGTTCGGGAAAATAAAGCTGGGCACTATTTCTCCGAACACTCTGAAATATCATCCTTTCCCGCAAATTTTGGATATTATATAGATCTATGATTATAGTATGGGCCTACCAAAGATTGTTCGTATACAATATGGTTCAATCGGCCCAAAAAATGTCCGCCGTAAATATTTATATAAAGAAATGCTACAATTCCAAACAGTTTTTCGCTATAGAGATATGACATGTTGCCTATGAAGGGTGCTGCTCTTAAACGTAATGTGTTGTGTTCACTCGTGTGCTGTCTAGATCTAGATCTATGGAGGGTTATTGATAACGACACATAGAACTGGCATCTGCGTTTGTCACTGCTGCGACCAATGTACTGACACTGGCAAGCCCCTTAATGTGTGTGATTCCATAATTTACATGTAATATCCTGTACTTAAAAAAAAAAATTATGCACATATATAGGGTTAAAACTGCCAATCTTCTTCGGACAGATGGACACACGCCCTTATTTGTTAATGTTTGTTGTTGTTTATGGGCTGTTCTAATTTTGATTTCTTTCTGTTGTGAAACCTTTCTTTTTCACGTTTTTACACTCATCTAAAAATCTCATCTAGACTAGCTGTTGAAAATTGAAATAGATATAGACCCAAAAATTTGCTCCTGTGTGTGTGCGTGTTTGAGTGTGTTTGTGTGTGGTAGTAAGTGGAGAGTGAGGAGTGTGTGTGTGTTTGTGTGTGGTAGTAAGTGGAGAGTGAGGAGTGTGTGTGTGTTTGTTTGTTTTTCGGGCTTTATTTCAGCCTTTATTCAGTAACAGTTCAAAGTATACAAAAATAGAAACACAGGATCCATTCACTCCAGGGCTCATGAGTCGTTCGTCTCTTTCAGTTTCACTCTTTCATTCAATTCCCGTGTTCTCTCCCGCGGCTCATCCCCGTCCGCATGACTTTCATACCCCACCCCATCCCTCCAGGCACACACAAAGAAAATCTCACTTGTTCCCTGCGAACCATGGACAATAATATCAGGCAAAACACCGCCTGAGCTGCATTCCTTTTGTTCGTGAGCTGTGGACCAGGCCAGGGGTGGTCAGTGTCGTCGTCGTCTTGTCTTGTAGTTGCTGTCGCCTGTGGATACACTCGCACATTCTTCCTTTCACCCGCTTTCACTCACACTGTCTCTCCATCCACAGTTCAGCTCGTCATACGTTCAAAAGTTGCCCACTAGTTATGTTTAGTTAGTGTGTGTACATGTGCATGATGGTGGTGGGTGTGTGGTGGGTGTTACTGAAGGTTGTCTCCTGTAGGCGGGCTTGCCATGTGGTACGTGTTCCTTCCCAGACCAGAGGCAGAATGAAAGTTGGCGCCGAACTCTTGCAATAAATAGGCAAAAAATCACGAGACCGGAAGCCGGAAACCTTTCGGAGAAATAAAGATCGGCACTATTTCTCAGAACGTTCGGAGAAATAGATCTAGTCACTTCGTAAAATAAAAGCAAAAAAAGACTGATTTTCTAGATCTAGATATAATCAGAAAAAAATCTTGGTGTACTTGTGTACTGTACTACGGGAAAACTAGTCTTAATCTGGTCCTAATTTATCCATTTGTACATAACTGGAACCAACCTGCAGGTTTGAACAGGAAGTGAAGAACTTCTATTGAACTTACGCGTACACCTTCGAAGGAAGTTAGGTGTGGGGTGGTGGTATTTAAATACGAAGTGACTATTTCTCCGAACGGTTTCCGGCTTCCGGTCTCGTGATTTTTTGCCTATAATTTATTGCGAGAGTTCGGCGCCAACTTTCATTCTGCCTCTGGTCTGGGGAAGGAACACCGCATGGCAAGCCCGCTTACAGACAACCTTCAGTAACACCCACCACATTCCCACCACCATCATGCACATGTACACACACTAACTAAACATGACCAGTGGGCAACTTTTGAACGTATGACGAGCTGAGCTGTGGATGGAGAGACAGTGTGAGTGAAAGAACGGGTGAAAGGAAGCATGTGCGAGTGTATCCACAGGCAACAGCAACTACAAGACGACGACACCGACCCCCTTGGCCTGGTCCACAGCTCACGAACGAAAGTAATGCAGTGTTTTGCCTATATTAATGTCCATGGTTCGCAGGGTGCAAGGGAATGAGTGAGATTTTCTTTGTGTGTGCCTGGAGGGAGGGGGTGGGGTGTGAAAGTCATGCGGACCGGGATGAGCTGCGGGAGAGAACACAGGAATTGAATGAATGAGTGAAACTGAAAAAGAGGAACGACTCGTGAGCCCTGGAGTGAATGGATCCTGTGTTTCTATTTTTGTATCTTTGAACTGTTACTGAATGAAGGCTGAAATAAAGCCCGAAAAACAAACACACACACACACTCCTCACTCTCCACTTACACACTTACTACCACACACAGACACACTCACACACGCACATACATACACACACACACACACACACACACACACACAGGAGCAAATTTTTGGGTCTATATCTATTTCAATTTTCAAGAGCTAGTCTAGAGATTTTTAGATGAGTGTAAAAACGTGAAAAAGAAAGGTTTCACAACAGAATGAAATCAAAATTAGAACAGCCCATGATAAACAACAAACATTAACAAATAAGGGCGTGTGTCCACCTGTCCGAAGAAGATTTGCTGTTTTAACCCTAAATGTGCGTAATTAAAAAAAAAAAAAGTACAGGATATTACATGTAAATTATGGAATCACACACATTAAGGGGTCTGCCAGTGGCAGTACATTATTGGTCGCGGCAGTGACCACCGCAAATGCCAGTTCTATGTGTCGTTATCAATAACCCTCCGTAGATCTAGATCTAGACAGCACACGAGTGAACACAACACATTACGTTTAAGATCAGCACCCTTCATAGGCAACACGTCATATCTGACAGCGAAAAACTGTTTGGAATTGTAGCATTCTTTATATAATTTATATTTATTGTGGACATTTTTTGGACCGATTGAACCATATTGTATACCAACAATCTTTGGTAGGCCTATACTATAATTATAGATCTATAATATCCTAAATTTGCGGGAAAGGATGTGATTTCAGAGTGTTCGGAGAAATAGTGCCCAGCTTTATTTTCTCGAACGTTCAGAGAAATAGTGCCGGCCATTTAAATATGATTGTCAGCATTAGCATTGAAAACTGCATCTCTAGCTTGTCTGAAAAGCAAGAGACCCTTTCTCTCTTTTGAAAAAAAAGTAAAAGGTAGATTCTAGGCCTAATTTAATGAGAAAAATCAGTGGGTTTTTTTGGTTGATGAACATTACTTTATTCTGGGGTTGAGGACGAGAGCAGCAGAGAAGCAGCAAAAGTCTGTTAGTCATGTCAACACTGGTAGTTTAGGAAAGAGTTCCGCAGAGAGACGGCACTTACCGTGACAACACAATGTCCACTGAGCGAACTGTACGGGTTAGGTATATACGCCGCTCAAAATATCCCCTCTTTTGTGTGTTGTTGGTCGGAGGGCACTCTGCGGAACTCCTCTGGTTTATGTTCTGAAGCCATGAGGTTGTAGAGGAGTCGGGAGGAGATTATTATATATGTTACAATTTATTTTATCTTTTTTAATGCTTTTTGTGTTAGCATTGGTGCAAAATCATATTGGTAACTCAAGTAGGCTAACAAAGCAACTTGGACTTGTGTCAGTGCCAGTTGTTATGCATGATCTTTTTCCGTAAATGTGGTAGTTTAAAGCTATACTATACTATTCATTTTATAAATTCATTGCAAGTGTGAAAAATAAATTATCTTAAGGTCAGATTTGGGGAGGATTTAGATATTATTTTTGCGGTTTCAGTGGAGGGGTAATTTATGTCCAGTAAATTTTATTTTGAAAAAAAAAAATCCCCTAGTGGTGTAATCTGCTGATTCAATTATGAATGCATGGTTGTGAGGCCTGTGAGTCACAGAAGGGAAATACATTATTGATATCTATATGGGAGTGGATACATTGTTTCATGACACTGATGGTGGGCATAATGCTTTTGTGGAGGTCTGTCCTGTTCCGTTTTGTTTATAAATTTATTCTCTTTTTCATGGTCACTCATGTCCATGTTCAGCCAGTGCTTTTATCATTTACGAAGAGTTACATGATACAGATGATAGCAGATCATGTTCAGTTTTAATGGCTTCACTGAGGAATAATAGATTGGTAAAAAGTTACAAACAAATGCTGCTGTATTTGTGTTTTTAAAAATTTAAGTTTTCTTTTATGAACTTGTGTGTATGGAAACTATTCTTCAATTGTCAAAAGTCAAAGAGAGAAACATTTTTCTTCCTGAGTACCAGTCCCAAGCAAATGTATTTATGGTGAAGGCTTATAATCTACTTTCCTTTTCCTTCTTATTTTTTTGTAGTAAATGTATTAGTCAATACTTTTTCATGTTTTCAAACAACAGAGACTTAAAATAACATACTATGCCACTGGAATTTAGTTGTCTTTTTATGTAGTCTTGTGTGTTTTGCAAAGAGTTCAAACCAGCACTGTGAATAAACAGTACTCTTGTTCAGTTTTTTAAAACCTCTTTTGATTCTGGTTTGTTTACAGACTTACTCTGGATTATTTTGTGTGGTTGTGAACCCCTACAAAAAGCTTCCCATCTACACAGAAAAGGTTATAGAGCTGTACAAAGGCAAAAAACGCCATGAGGTGCCTCCGCATGTGTTCGCAATTGCTGACACTGCTTACAGGAGCATGTTGCAAGGTAAGACATTACGTTATTTGATTTGAGGGTGTGTTTTTTAAAAATCTTCTCTCTAAAGTCTTTAAAGTGAGTTTGATCAATTAAATCAATAATATTTTGAACATCAGCGCGCAAAAATTCTAAGATTAGGTACAAATGCCTGTCTGTGTTCTAGTTGTTTGTACATGAAGAATTGGAATTAAACATTCATTATTATAGATCAGAGTGTTCTGTTCAAGGCCTGATACAGCCATGTCAGGGTTGGTTATGTGTTCCATTGCCCATGACCCTTCAGGAATTTGCTGTGTGGAGGCAGCTTTTGGATAGTGTTTTGCTGACATTTGAGATAGTATGTTGCTTCTGAAGCACGGATGCCAGTCCAGGGCATGAAATGAGGAGAGGGATTCTTTCAGAATTTGTTTGTTGATACAAGATGCTGTGGTTGGTTGAAAAAGAATATCTGGTAGGTGTTCTTACTTCTTCACAAATCACAGAAGTTTCAATCATATTAATGCAGAACTTTCAATTACATAAATGGAGAATTAAATCAACATACCAAAGAGAAGGGGGTAAAACAGCACTGGAATAAATGAACTGTTCATTATTCTGTTCTGTTAATTGCTTTTTCCCAGAAGGAATGTTATGCTTTGGTGTCTTGCTAATGAGAGACCTGTACTCAGTGTACCTGATATATCAAGTAACCACACAGTAAACAAGATATGTTATCTGCAGATTGAAGATAACAAGTAATTTTTGACATAAGTAATATCACAATGAGTTGACAAGAGTAGGGTTGTAGTTTCAGGTAAATGTGATTTTAGTTGTGATTTCAGGCTCCTTGCATGTAATTTTTTTCCGGGTTCTTTTTCCTACTCTTGTGAATTCCTTTCCTTGGTGAACAAACTGTTTACTTTATTTTTAATGAGTGTCTCTATTTTCGTTTGAAGAGGAGTTAAAAATAGAAGCAGGACTTTTGGGAAGGGTGTTAGTTTGGTGTCAGTAGGACGAAGAGGCTTAATGGAACCGAGGAGGGGGGGGGGGCGTGTTACTTCTTAAATGCGGACAGAGGATTCTTTGTTTTTTTTGCCTCCACATTCCCAGCTGTCACGTCCTGGCGATACTCATCCTCACCCCCCTGGCCCCTGACGTTGAGCGGCGGCGCCTTATCTGAGCGCTAAGTAAGCACGGTTTCCGTGTAGAGTGAGGGGCTGGGTCGTGGTCTTAGCTAGGTAGGGGGAACAAACATGATGGAGTGGACCAGCCCAAGGCTCTCTGTCATAACGTCTTCCGTCCACTTCTCAATGTATCTCCGCGCCGACTGACACTAAGTTTCTGGGTGCGCTGTTTTTTTTGTTTTTTGGGGGGGGGGGGTTACTTAGGATTTCTGTTGCGTCTGCACTTCAGACTGACTTATTATAAGTGCGTGTCGCTTCCTCTATGTGTGTTGTACACGTCACTGTGTGTATGTTTCCTTTTATGGTGTGTGCTGGTCTCCCCGAGAGTATAGTGGTGTTTTGTTGATCTGATTCAGTGGGTGGGTGGGTAGGTGGTTGGCAAGTGCTCTGATATGGTTTTCTTCTTGTTTCCTAATAAACAGCTATCGTCTTTATTTACTCTTCATTTCTTTGTATGTTACTCCTCAGTAACAACTCTAATCTTCGGATCTTATACATGACCAAATAAAATAGTGTTGCAAGTGCCGTGTGGATAAAATTCAGAGGTTGAGTTCGATGATCTTTGACGGGGGGGTATGGAGTGAGGTGGAGGTGAGGGTTGAGTTAGGGGCATTGCATAGAGTCAGTACAAATAAATGTAATTTTTAACCGTTCGGCTGTATTGGTTTAAAATGTATGCACACGGTAGTGTGAAACTGTTGAGACACCTACTAGGAGACGTTAAGTTATGGATACGTAAACACCTGACAGCTCCAAGTATTTTGAAGTCACTTGTAAAAGTTGCTTTTCTGGTTGAAGGAAGGTCCCTAAGCTTGACTTCCGACTCTCTTTGAAGTGTTGTTAAACGTCTTGTGCATCATGTTTGTCGAATTGGTATGGTGGTTGTTTTTTTTTTTTTTTGGTGGGTCGCCGTGTCAGTATG